ATAAGAAAACATGGGGAACATGCATGTATTGCACAAGTTAAAAATCATCAAGACCTAATTCATTCTGCCACATTAAAACCATGATTACAGCTTTTGATGTTTTCAAATGTATAAATACAAACATGGAAAACTACTAAAATACTTTGGTCCAGTCTCAATCTCTTGTTTTGTACAACATGAAAAACAATTTGGCAAGATGCTTTTTCCGAGTCAACAATTCTAGACAGGTTTTGGAGGGTGATGTTCTAAATGTCAACAAAGATGTAGCAGATACAGGTATAATGACTCGGTAGTCTAATATCCCTTTAAAGGTTAGATAGCCATCAGTAATATGTGGAAGCAGAGGATGCTTTAGTCTAAATCATTTCATCTTATTGAAAGTAAGAGAGGGTATCTCAAAACAGAAGTGGCCAGATACGAAAATGTTGATATTTCACTGCCACATTTCTGTGAACATTTGGTAATAACCACGTTTATTATTCTTCAGAGGACAAGCTCTGAAACATTTTGAACCTGTTTAGATCACTTTACATAATGAAACAGTAGAAACCTATTTCAGCATTAAGTACTATTATACAGCAGAATAGATATCATTGTGTTTTCTCAAACGGGGATTAAGACTACCAAGAGTAATTTAATGCAAAAGTTGTCAAAGGATTTTACACGGTCAGTGGATGGATCTTTTTTTTTCTTCTTTAAAATGAGGAAATAATTCAGTATTCTTCACTCAATTACAGCACGTGGGGTCACTGAAAGTCAAAACTGAGCTGACATGATCGTTTAACATTAAAACAAAGAATTAATGAAATTTGAAAAACAAATTACTTTCTGTGCTCTGAATTAGTTATTAAAAGCATCATTAATATGCACACTATGCAAAATAGATAAAAATTAATCATTGGATCCAAATACTTTTCTTCATGATCTGATCACCCCAGAGACAAATGTAAGATTAATATGGTAATTCCATACAAGTGGCAGGGAAAAGTTCAATCAGAATGCATTTGTAACTAATTGTTTTATTTAACTGTAACACACCTACTTAGCAGAAAGATGCTAAACAAGCCTGTTCTGAGTTTCCTATTTATCAGATACAACTAAGGAACCTTCCTTTGAGCAAAGGTCTTCAAAGTCAGCGATCATGTAAATTTGGAAATAACATGGAAATACAAGTTTTCTTGAACCACTATCACTTTTCAGGATTTCTAGAAAAGGAGTTTTTAGTATAAAGCAGCACCGTTACTGAACTGAAAACTCCTATGCTCCTATTGTTCTAGATTTAAACATGGTAGTCTTCCAACTGGGCCATTTTCTGGATGTGTTACTTTACAGTGGTTCAGCCAAATGACACAGGGCAGGTAATCTGATCATTGTATGACATTACTGGACATTATTGGATTGTTGTTTTCTGGTTAGTGTTGCCACCTTTAGAAATCAGAACAGTTCTAGTTTTTACTGCGCAAAACAGAAAACAAGACTTTTGACTGGGTGAGCAATAAACTACAATACTAGATCAGATTGGAGATTTGTACATAACATGTTTCTTAAGTGAAATATATACTTAGAGCTGAAGCTTCCATCAGAAGTCACTGAGGCAACACTTTTGTTACATACACTGCAAATACAACAAACTGTATTTAAAAAAGGGTAAAGCCAGAGTAATGCTGTAATCATACTAACTGCATTTTCAGGCTTTGTGATTCTATCTAGAAATAAATTCCTTTAATGACCATAGGGTTGGGGAGAAAACAGCAGTAATATTCAACATCTTTCTGTTCTACATTATTTTAACTTATAGAACTTCTTTTACATGGTAACAAATGTAAGACTATACGCATAATTTATTTTAATTCTACAAGAAAAGAAAAGTAAAGACAAGTAAAGAAACAAGTAAAGAAAAGACATTAGCTTTTCTTTACACTCCTCATCCATGCTTGATGATATTAAAACTACATGTATTAATTACATTTACCTAAATAACTGCTTTAAATGGAAAACTGCAAAGTCTTTGCAATGTATTACATTGCATAATTTCTGTAATGTTCTGAAATGTATTACCTTTCCATTGTACATAAAAAGCACCTTAAACAAAATCCGTAGCTGCATTGTGACATACGTTACTTGAAATATGCTTTTTAATTACATCTCTTAACTACATGACCCTTGCACGATATAAAACAAAATGGTTTACAAAATCCATTTGAGAAAAGGTACTGTTTATGCAATGAAGTACAAACTAATATGTGCTTGCATCATTGACTCCCAGAAATTAACTGAACTAGTCCCCTTCTGCTATTCATACACCTAGCTACAAAGCAGAGAAAAATAAAAAAGGTACCCATTTTATTATATAAATAGCAACTGGGAAGTTTTAAGTGGAATGTAACAGTAAATTAGAGAAATATGTTTAAAAAAATAAACAATCTCAGAAAACAGCAGTCTACTCATCAAAACATATATCAGTTTCACAAATACATAGCAGAAGAAATTAAGCTAAATTGTAAGCTGCCTATTTTTTGTTAAATGCACCCATAGAGAACATACATATTTCTAGGTTGCAGCCTGACGTACATATATGTGAAATACATCCACAGAGAACCCATAAAGGACCAATTTGACTTGTGTATATCTTTGTTAGCTATACTACCAATGTTCTGTACTACTGTTAGTTCAAGACATTTCTGTCAACAACATTGACTTGTTGACGTTTGTCTCTCAACTGTTTTGCACTTATTTTATTTGAAACGGGGATTTTTTTTGGACGGATTTTAAACTCTTTTGCAGTTTTAGGGAGTTTCATATCATCCAATTTAAATGCACAATAAATGCAACACATTTATTAAAGCTGGACATCTCAATTACACTAATCAAGGAAATGGCTCACACCTAGTGCAGATCTAGATTGGAAAGTGGAAAGCAGTAAATGATTTTGCTGTCAGCCATAAAAAAAAACTTGCATTTGTTATGGTATCAAAAAAAAAAACCCCAACAACTTCCATGCTATTCAAATTAAAATATCGCTCTTGGCTCTAAATGATACAGGGGGTTGGGGTTGCAGCTCTCAATGTCAGATTGATGTAGTGGTCTAACAACCTCTGTGATATCATAATCATATCAATCAGGCTGGGACTACACAGGGCAGCTGACAAGCAGCACTGGCAATACACCAAAGCAAGAACAGCATGCAGGTGGCATGTCAAAACAGCAGTGAGCTAGATCTGTAGCAAGCCATCAAATAGAAAAAAATGGAAAAAAAGCACATTAGATTAAATTATTGACCAGTATTTACAAATTTCTAACCTTTATTAATAAAACACTGTCATCTGCAGCCTGCAAAGTAAAGTATACAAAATGAGTCTGCCATTTTCATCTTGGGCAATTATCCAAAAATCTTAGACCCTTCAGATAATGCAAATTAAATTCAGGGAGGCAAATATTGTAAAGAAATAGGAGTGGCCGGGTAGTTATAAAGAAAAAAAAAGTCACATTTCTAACTATTGTACAAGCACAAAAATCAATATAAAGACATTTCCTGTAAAAGAAATGTAGTGCAGATTTTTTTTTTGGTCTGATACAATTATAAAAAGCTTTTAATTCAGATGCATCTATGCACAGAAAAAAATCAAGGCTTGAACGCAAAAAATGTGTATTAACAAATGCGTATTAACCATATTTCTATTTACTAACCTTGGGGTCTGCAGTCCACTTAAACCTACTTGTACAATTGCAAAAGACTCATGCACAATTCATCAAAGCATCTTTACACTGGTGATATGATTATCACTTGTGACCAACTAGGAAGAAGATAAAAAAGCAAGGCTTAAAGGTAATAAAATGACAGATGTTTTAAAAAAACCTTTACCAGTGGAGAATTCCGATGTCCCACATTTCAAGGTGTCACACTTGAGAGATCTCCAAGATGAGAGGGGAAAAGTCGATGAAATGCAACAGCTTTTTCAAGAGATGGTGTTGACAGAAAAGCAGCTGTCTGGCGCCACTCAACCCAAAAACTGTAGCCCTGGGATAGTTAAGTGATAACCTTCCCTGCACTGTAATATCTAATAACAGTGCAAGTCACCACAGGATAAAATGGTCAAACCATTCATAAAAACCTTTGATATTGGAATGAAATGTGGACTTTAGTTTATAAATGTGACCTCTACAGGGATGTTTCAGTATACTATACATATTTAATATCTTAAATTGCAACTATATATTGATATGCAGAACAGGAATAAATAATCTTAATAGTCTTAACCAGGATGAACATGCATAAATATACATTCGCATGCCAGGAGATATTTAGAACTGTCACAGAAATACAATGAAATTAAATGATTTGGAAACAAACAACTTTGCTCCTATGATGATCCATGTATTTTCATCAGGTGTGGTTTCTACACTCTAAACTTCAATTTGTGATATTAACTCGTAAATGTTCAACTTGAAAACAATACCAGTGCAAAAATGTTGAATCATCATAACTGAAATAAAAGTCACATCAGCAACTAATCTAACAGGAACACAAAAATCAAATGGTACTATTATTAGCTGTTTATTAGTCAATGATGCATTGTAATGTCAGCCTGGTTAGCCGGCTATTAAGGTCTTAATCACCTGCGCTCTCCATAAAGCAAGTCATAGAAACAGCAGGTAGTTCTGACATTTCATTAATGAAACTTCAGATTACAAACATGAAATGTGCTATTTATGTTCTGATTAACTGGTATTAGGTCATAAATCAATATAACTCAAATCTGTCAACCTATCCTAAGGACATTAAAAACAAACACCACTGCATAATAGAGCTTTTTTATGGGAAGCAAAGAATATACACTAATCAAAATAGGCTTTTACTCAAACTTTACTCAAACTGTAGTCACATTATGGAAAATCAAATCAGAAAAAATATTCAGTAAAAATATACTTTTGCTTCAGTTCCTATTGTGATAATTTGCTTTAGATAAATGAGTTTGTTACAGAGTGATACAAAAATCCAGTAACCGAAAAAAAATCAAATTTTATTTGGGAAAGGAGATGGTAGCACTTTCAATATCTGTTATTTAGATTTTCATTAACACAGAGAGCAATAACAGTTTAACATATATAGACTTCATATATTGCTGTAGCGATTATGCAGTATCTGTATATGGTAAATCAAAACTTACAAGATTATTTTCCCTCGCTTTTAAATATGCAAAATAGATGTCATTGTGGATGTACACCAAAATAATGAACATTTACTAGGAAAATCAAAGAACATTCAGTGTCTCCCTGATTCAATGTTTTGGATTTAAAATCATTGAATATTTACAACCACAAGGATACTTATATTTTCCATCAGTAATAGTCTCAAGGAACTACTAAGATGATTTAAATGTATTTTTTCCTTCAATTTATTTTTTGAGGGATATCTCAAAATAAGGCAACCATAATGTATTACAAGATGGTACAATTCAGGAAATTACAATATGGATTTTGAGAGTACTCTATGCTTGCAATTATAGGAAGCACTTTAGCCTCCACTTCCAAAGTTTCTAGTACTCCTAAATATTTGTCTACATCACAGTTGTCAGAAAAATAAATCAATTTAAAAATCTGAACACCACACTGAAACCCAAATCTATGTTCAAAGCAATTTTTCATTACACTGCAATCTTATCAGTGAAGCAATCTCTTCCATGCTGCCTTTAAGTTTTCAATGTTGCACTTCCATTTGTAACCATATCATAAAGATTAAATCTGAAGACATTTACTTTGAGATGATCAAGTCTTTCTGTAAGGGAAAAGAACTGAGTTTTGAATGAGCTGAATAAATAACTTGAGACAACGTGTTCTAAGTGTGGTAAAATTTACATTTATTACTTGCATCATCTTAATACTTGTATGCTGTGCCTAAGATAATCAGATGTTAAGGGCAATGCAGCTCAAATAAACACAATGCTTAGATAAGAAATGAAAAAGTCCCAGATCTACCCGACAATAACTGTTTCCTCATCAGGGAACTCATAATAGGGCACCTCTAGGTTGGCAGGTGCAGGACCCTTTCTTATTCTACCTGAGGCATCGTAATGAGAGCCATGGCAAGGACAGTAGTAACCACCATAATCACCAGCATTAGCAATAGGCACACAGCCAAGGTGAGTGCAGACTCCAATCACAATCACCCATTTGGGTTTCTGGACTCTATCTAAATCGTGCTGGGGGTCTCGCAGCTCACTTAAGTTCACATCGGCTTCCTGCTCAATCTCTTTTGCTGTTCTGTGACGGACAAAGAGTGGCTTCCCCCTCCACTTGAAGGTCATGTTCTTGCCCTCTGGGATATCGGACAGTTTGACTTCGATTTTCGACAGCGCCAACACATCGGCAGAGGCACTCATCGTAGAGATGAACTGAGTGACAACTGTCTTGGCAGTATAAGCTGTCACCACAGCTGTTGCTCCAGTCAACAAGTAGGAGAACCCTCGCCTGGCCTCACTGCTCTTTTGAGAGGGCTTGTCGGAATCCAGCACTTCCGGCCTTCTGTAATCGGAAAAATCAGGGACTCTGATGTCAGTATGCGCAAAACGAATAGAGGCAGGAGCTGAAAAGAAAAAAGAACATTTTCTTGGTTTAAAAACATTTACGCTGAATTACATCAGTAACAACCACTAGGGCTTTCAGAGTGTTATGAGACTAATGTTTTGGAAAACAATTTTCAATATAACTGCATTAACGACACCTTGTGTTTCCCCCCTTAAATCACCTCTGTGCTGATGCTGTTTGAATGATCATCTTTTGGTTTGTTGTAAAATAATAACCAGGTAATTATAAAAAAAACCTGTACACACAACACTATGGCAAAAGACAATGCACACACATAGAACTAGGACAGCAAAAAAATAACTTCCCTGTTGATTCATGACCACTGTCAAGAGTAACTGAAAAAGCTCAAGCATGGCTATAACAAACCAATAAAAACACATGTTCCTGAGCTTTTTGCAAGTGTGGCCAAAGCATGATTTTCTTCTCCTGTGGCAATGTAATGCAAAGTTTTATGGGACAATATAGCTGTATTTTTTTAAGAAACACAAATAAGAATAATGGTCAGAAGAAAAAACAGCCCAAGCAACAGATTCAGATTTAAACAGTTTAATTCCATGCTGAAAATTGGAATTTAGTCTTTTAACACTTTCAGGATAGAATTGTCTTTTAAATTTTCATTTTGAGCTTGCACATAAAAACAGATTCACACCTGATGCTGAAATTAGGTGAGCAAAAAAAAGTTATTGCTATTTTTATTTCATGTTAATAGATTGCTAAATGGCTATATTGTAACCAGAACATTTTGAGACATGATTGGATTTTTAGATTATCCCTTAAGGGAAAGAAACAAACGCACAAATTAAGAATTAGTATTGGTACTTAATTACTGTGTGCAGCAAAACGTTTAATACTGATAAACTGTTCACAATTACTGCCGGATGGGCTGATCAATGCTAAAGATTTGATCAGGCGAGTGATTTCAAAGTAGTTTCTGTACAATTATTAATCCAATAAATATAAATGGCAATTTTAGTGTCTAGGCAAGAACAATTTTTATCCTATAAATGGGTCTTATGACTTTTATATTACATTACAGGCTACCCTTTACAAATATTAAAATAAAGGCTCTCCTGTTACTATTTTAATCACATAATATGATTTACTACATAAGATTTAGCAATCCACATTCTTTAAATAAATGTATTGATGAGCATTAACAATGTGAGTCATTTTGGTTTTAGACAGGGCTTTACTAAAACACCAGTTTTAATTCATGATGTGCTACAAAAGTGAGGATATCCGTTTAATCAATATAGAGGTAGTAGACAAAAAATGGAAACTGTAGGTAAATGGACAGCATAGGACAGCATAAAAACAAGGCCTCCCCCACGGATGTGGCTTTGTATTAAGAAAAGGACATTCCTGCATGTTAGAGGGTAAAATGCTGGCCTGGCTTGGTTGCCTATAATTATGGCTAGCATGAAGAGGAGACCTCAGTGACGCTGAGAGAGGGGCAATTGTTGGGGTGCATTTAGCAGGAGGTTCAGTAACCAAGACAGCTCAATTTTTTTTTTATCTTTCACAGTGTCCAAAGTCAGCATTGAACTCTGAAAGAAATCAGAAGTAAAGGGCAAAAGTGAGCAAAAGCCCATAATATAAGATTGTGATTTCTGTGCATTCATTTGAGATACATTACTTGAAGGGCAAAACAGTAAGCAAGTGCAGATCATCTGACAGCACATTTCAACCTGTGGCATGAGAAGCCAAAACAGTTTAAATAAAAACTGGTCTGCAAGAGTAGGATACCGTTATCGGGTTACTGTGCACAAACTGCTTTTCATACTTGGTAATGCATATTTAAGAGTTGAGTGGTGCAAAGAGGACAGGCTATGGACTACTGAGCATTTGGTAAATGTGATATGGTCAACTAAATCATCCTTCACAATGTTCTCAACAAATGGATGAATGAATGAGTGCTCATTTCCAACAGAGAAGGGGTCTGATTTTACGTTGAGAGCCACATTCTCCTGGCTTGGTTTGGGTTTACTCATCCTCTCAGGAGATAAATGCCACTTAATGGGTGAAGTGATCATCTTCACCTTTCTTTCCTGCCAGGATCATTCCCTTCCAGAATGATGATGAACCTTGCCAAAGCATGTGGTCACCCAATGGTGTGATGAGCCTGACACTGATGTTATCCAAGTATTATGGCCTTCTCAGTGCCTAGATCTGAACCCATTCAAGCATGGGATATTCTGAAAATGCCAGAGGTGGTGTTTTCAACCTCCATCAACCAGTTGACTTTATGGAAGAATGGTGGCGCATCCTTCCTGCAGAATTCCAGATATTGGTAGATTACTATGCCACAAAGCACACAGGCCATACTGGATGCACATGGTGGCCCAAAGCCATATTGCATGACTTACACTGATACATTTTTTTTGCCCACTACTTGTACAGTCATAAAGGTTCATATAAGATACAACTGATTAAAAAAAACCAATTACCTCACTGACAGCTGAATTCAACACCATTTTTATGTGCGCTATCACCAATGTCTTTGACATTACTTTTGCGGAAGTAACTGAACATGCCTTAAAACATTCAGCATGTTTGGGCCTTTATAGATCTCAAAAATAATTCACATACAAAGTTTATAGAAAAAACCTTTGGTAACAGTCCAATGACTGTTTTTAGCAGTCCTACTTTTTCCACCTACTATCCTCAGTAGGGCCAGTCTTAAAATAAGTACAAACCATTGCCCTATATAGCTGTGAAATTTTGAATGCACTTATGAAATATAGCTTAATTTCACATTTAATTAAGAAGATGATCCACAAAATATTAAGTATAAGGCATGTGAGACACAACAGCAGTAGTTACACAATTGTAAGCAGCATTTACTAGAGCCAAAGGCCTGAAACACAAAAAAAGTTTGTGTTTTACATTTAAAACTTTAAATGCCCTATGGGATAAACAATCAGTTCTGTACCAACTCTCAGTTTCTCGTATCAGCTTGCTCTCCAAGCAAACTCCTCCCTGCTAAGACATTTGCTATGTTTTGGAGCTCGTGACCAGCAAAGAGCAAAGCTGGCCAGGTATCTTGGCTGGACAGACTTACCAACAGTGTGGAAACAAGATGAAGGTTAGATATAGTTATGTAAAACCACTGTGCATTTATGTCAGAACAGCCTTGAAGTAATGAATACATGACCACTGCAAAGTACACTTCTTTAAGAGTCCTTTACAACACCCATGAGCTTTAAACAATTCCAGATAAATATACAGGGAGTCATTATGCACTGGAATATTCCTGGAGTACTTAAAAATATAGAGTTACTCTGCATTCTCATTAACCAGTATTATCTTTAGAACATTCTATAAAGGAAACACCACCAGCTGTAAAGAACAGAACTGTCAGTTAAGTGTTAAATGTGGCGTTTCAGTTTTGGTTTGACTTTTGCAAAGGGCAATTACAAATAAACCGTTTGAAAATAGTTGTTAATTTAACCACCTCTCAACAGAAACAGTGACACGACGACATTACACCTACTTTACCTTCTTAGGTTATGAATAAGAGAAAACGATCGATCATAGTATGCATGTACGGCATTTTTGACATGTAACATTTTCCAAGTCAAAGTAAAATATGCAAAAAAAGTAAAAGTTGGTTCACGGGAAGAGGTCACCACAACCTTCAACGATTCAAGGAGCTTTCATTAACTCTTTTTGTTCTAAATCGCACTCACGAATCTGTTAATTAATATTAAAACGTATATATATTGCAGATTTATTAAAAACGTCATATGAAATTGAGTAGGTACATGAACCATCTCATTAAAACAAAATTCTGAGTTGTATAGCAAAGCCTTTGATAAAAAGAAACATAAAATAGATACACGATAATGACTTATTTAAACTTCCAAATACGAAATCTTCTAGATTAGAAATTCGCTTGATAGCCACATAGTTTTAGGTACAGGCCAAAAGATACAACAGGCCCCGCTACTTTTCAAAAACCTAAAAACCTTGCTATATCGTGGTCAGGTCTCACAGAGAAAATAAGTAAAGTTTCACACAAACAACAGATGAAAAGACTCATGAACAGCAAAAATAAAGGGGAAAAAACTAAAGGATTTTTCACTGACTTTCAACTAGGCCCAACTTTACATCCTCGGTACTCGAGTGCACTGACAACTCACCATTGATGCTGACAGAGACGGCGGGCCCAGTTCTTGGGCTCTGCCCGTTTAAGGACTCCCGGCACAGGAATGGTTTCTTTAGATCCTGCAGCACCTTATCGGCCTTGAGGACAACAACACCTGGGGCGAGCGGTTTAAGCTGCCCGGCCACAGCATAAGAAGTTGCCTGCAAGTACGGGGAGAAAGCCCCGGTGCGAGCAGCGAGAGACAACATCTTGTCGGCTTTCAAAATCCTCAGTCTCGGTCACAGCGACCTTCTCCAGGGCGAAGGGAAACAGGAAAAGAGCGTGTGACGTCACCACGTGACTGACGTACCTACGACCAATACTTCACAGGGAAGTTATATGCAAATGTATTTCATAATAATAGCTGGTTTAAAAATGTTTAATCGTGTTGTTTAAAATACATATTTTGAACAATGAAATCTTCCAGGCTTTTAACCTTAAGCACACATATATTATTTTATTCGCACCAATGTTTTGCAATTATTTGACAAAATAATTATTTTGGATAATTCAACCCAAGAAAGAAAAAAATAAATGTCTTTTCTCAAATAAAATCAAAGATAATTAAGAAACACGTTATCTGATGCGTCAAAGTTACATAAAAAGTAAAAATGTTCACTGTCTACTGAGAAACACGTTTTTAATCCATCTATTCATTTCATCTGTCCTGGCAAGGAAGGGGTGCAAGGCAAGACAGTCCCTGGACGAGAAGCCAGTCGATCGGAATGGCACTCACAGACACAAACACGCTCACATTCACCAGGGGCAATTTGTGCAGAAGCCAATTAATCTAGTATGTCTTTGGACTATAGGAGGAAACCAGAGCACCTCGCAAACATAGAAAGAACATGCAAACAGCACCCCAGGAATTGAACTTGGAGACCCAATGAGGCAACAATGCAAACCACTGCACCACCTTGCCACCACAGACAAATTTTTAATCGTTGTCTTAAATTGTTATTAATCAATCATTTGTCATTATACTACCCTCTTGGAAGAAATAAACATCAAATAATTAGAGTTGCAAAGGCAATACAGTCTTTCTCCTCCTCCTTGCATGCATATCATATTGTAACGCAACGGGGGCTCAGGCGGGCGCCCTTGCCGCATCTGGTCGGCCTCATCCCGACTGGAGG